TCCTTCCTTCACAATCCAACAACCCTCTGTGCCTCCACCATACCACTAATCGTTTTTAACCTTGTAAAACATCCTTTCCCCTCTGTAAGTACTGGCAGAAATATAATATTACTAGCTTTGTTTTATATATTTATATATATAAACAGGAAACATTTATACACCTATAATACACAGTTATATAATAAAATAAATATGGCTAAAAGAGGGGGATGCAGTCAGTTTTCTGCTGCGGTGGGGAGATGGGTGTGCCGCGCTGTATTCACCCTCCTCGGTTTTACATACAGCTTCGTAAGTCACTCACAGATGTACAAGCGCAATGTCCAAGCACCCTGGGGAACTGACTTGATGTAGGCCGGGATAGGTGAGCAACAACAAACGAAGCAATCCAATCCAATGCGTTGCTCGTTGGCCTTGGCAAAGATGGGGTTAAGTGAGTTCTGTCCCATTTGATTAATTACTTGATTTAATGATTGTTTTTTTTACACTTCAGTAAGTGCAATACCCTGACATTGAGTTGCAGGGCTCATTTGTATCATTGTACCAATACCTCAGTCAGTTTTGTCATTCATTTGGGGTATAAGTGACTTTCTTTGGCCTTCATCTGTTGCCATCAGTTGACAAACTCGCCTGTCTTATAGAATCGGTCATAAAAAGTCTTACTTTAGGTGTCAGGCCTTTGGTTTCATCTCCTTTCCGTCGGAAGATCCGGCTGTGGGTAAACATTTGGGTTACAGTTCCTCCTTTTGGTTAGTACCTTGGAAATTTAAACACAAGCAAAACCAGACCTCTCGGTTCATTCAAGGTACTACAAGTAGACCGCGCGTGTCTGGTAGCTATTAACTGATCTTCGATCCGGCTACTGCGTCCTGCTAAGAAGCTGCTCGGACATCAAATAACGGAAGGCCGAGCAGATGCCCGAATGTCTCTGGCATAACCTGAAGCCCTGTTCTCTTTAAGTTCTGGTTCGGTTGGACAGTTTTCTGTGTAGATGCTGTTATGGTACCGTTGGGTTTGATTGAGTTCTTTTGCACAACTCGAGATACACACCACAAGCCGGTTTAAGTGCAGAGTTGCCTTGCCGTCGTTGAGGTCCTCCGTTGGGTTCGTCAACTAGGCCCAAGTCGTAAAGATAAATACACGCCGACTTTATTGGCGCGAGAATGCATATATAGTAGAGAATTTGTGGAATCTATGTGGCGATCGGTAGAGTGACATTTTTTTTTATATCCTCTATGTTGGTCGTATGCAAAGCCATTCTATTACTCCACCCTTATACATTCCTTCCAATATTGGCCCTCTGTGTTCCTCAGCTTTCCAGCTGCAGAAGATTCATTGGATAAAACTCATTCTCATTGAGGATCATTCGACCTAACTGGTAAAGAAACTGGCTATACCAGTGAATGCCCGCCGGTTGGGTTGACTCATTGCCTGCCGTCACCCCTAGACTGTACAGTACCCGTAAAGGCCAAAAAGCAAACTGCGCCAGTTTCTGTCTTTGTACCAGGGCGAAACAGGAAACCATCACGTCGTCCACCAGTATTGTCCCATGCTGAGTGAGAGGGGCGTAAATGCCATTTTCTCTCCGCACACTCAATGAGGTTACTCTAGCCGGCACAAGGTGACCAGTCGCTCCCGATACTAAAATATACTGGCCAGGTGTTACGTGGCTGGCAAACACCGCTTTGTAGTCAGTGATCGGTGTGGAGAAATTGTCCGCCGCGAAGATGAGATGAGTCGCGGTTAAGGAAAGTCTTCGAGGGGGCTCCGTTGTTTCGATCACCCGGAACAAATTCTCCGCTCTAGGATCCCGGTCTAAAAAGGTCACAAAGTCAGTGTAGGTGGGGCGCCCGTAACTGTCCATGGCCAGGACTCGCATTCCGGGGCGCAGTGCCGAGACTTGAGTTTTCTCGCCCGACTCTAACGTGACCCTCGCTGTTCCTGGAAAGCAGCCTCCAGTCTTTGCTGCAACAGAGTGCTCTGGACAAAAGGAAGAAAAACAGTCAGTCAGAGGAGGACCGGCACGGCAAAATGAAAACTGTCACATGATAACATTTGCAGCTACATATGTATAAAAAGATATCTAGGCAATGGGAAGCTGTTCCATGCGTCTCGTCACTATGTGAACGAGAAAGCATGGAGCCGGCTTTCTGGCCAATCAGGAAGCCGGGCGCCGTGTAATGACGCGGCGCCTGGCTTTCTGATTGACCAGGAAGCCGGATCCATGCTTCCTCGTCGTGAGGTGACGAGGGAGCATGAAGCGGGCCAATCAGAAAACCGTGCGCCTAGTCATTACACGGTGCCCGGCTTCCTGATTGGCCAGCTTCACGACCAATCAGGAAACCTGCCAGGGAGTCATTACACGCTGCCAGGCTTCCTGATTGGCCGGCTCCATGCTCTCTCGTCACGACTCGGCCTAATCAGGAAGCCTGGCAGCATGTAATGAAGCGCTGCCCGCCTTCCTGATACAGGAAGTATCGGGCTAGGCATCGGAGAATTTGGGCGAGCACGAGCCCAAATACTCGGCAACGGCACTAGTATCGGTAACGGTGCATCACTAGTCGAGACCCTCCCACTGTGAGCTGCAGTGTCTGGGAGGGAAAGCGTGTGAGACACATATCCAGGAGGACTCGGATGCTTTAAGAGGCTTGTGCATCACATAGTAACTGGATTTGGCACTTGTACAGACTGTCATATAGAACCCTTTAGTTGTACTTTAGCTGTGGCCCAAGAGAGAGAAAGGTCCTTCCTGTCCCCCACAGACAATCCAATAACTCATAATAGGATGTTAGAATCAACATACAGCTAACAGATTCAACAGCCTACAATATCCATTCTTACAAATCTTAGCAGCCATTCATTTTCAGTGCACAGCTAGCCTTCTTGGCAAACTATGCAACAGTTTCACTGCTCTTACAGTAAAGAACTCTTTCGGTATGCAGAGATTAACCTTCCAATCCCACAGTGGCAAAGCGCAGCCCTGTGTCTTCCGAAATGAAAAACTTTCCACTGAGTTTACAATATAGACTACTTTTGTATTTATTCATTTGTTCCCCTTAAAGCTGAACTCCCCACAAATCAGGAACACACAAAGTAGCCCAGCTCTATAGTTATTAACACATCATTACGTTTCTAGTCCAAGCCGTGTAAGTGCCGGAATTTTAACTGGTAGCGGCCTTCTGCAACCCCTGTACAGCAGAGCTCAGGCTGTGAGAGGGAGAAGCAGGGCAGGTTTACTAGCAAATAACATGATGATAAGAGGAGAGAGCAGAGAGATGAGCCTATTGGTGTAATGTTTTGTTTTCTTGGGTAGCATTGATCTTTTTCAGCTCTCACTTCCTTATTCCTCACCTAGGCCAGGCTGACCTACCCATAGGTCCACCACACTTATACCCCCCTCCTCCTTGGTCACCAGCAGCCTCCTGGGATACAAGTCAAACATCCCAAAGGGGCTTCAGGATGGGCTTCCACAGGTTGGGGATCCGGTTGGCTCTAGGGGGCTGGCAGAAGTCACGGTTAGCTTCTGAATTCAAAATTACCTCAAAAAGAGCTGTGAGGACTTTGGGTTCTAGGAAGGCAGCACTGGACGTGTTGGGTTGGACGTGTTGGGTTTAAAGTCAGCAGTTAACGTTCTTGTAGCTGTAGACTTTTTGGATCAGATCCCTTCAGTTACACTGCAAACCGAGAGAATTGTGGCAATCCTTTGGCATTTAGAAGCGGCCAGTCCACAAACCAGAAACCTTGTTTAAACACCAAGGCAACACCACGAGGACAATTCAAGGGTTCCAGAACTACCTATCCATTTCTTCAAATTGTGGTGCAGAGACAATTGGCCAAACACTCTCAATGGGAAAATAATGGGATATATGTACAAAAACCTTCTCTGATTTTTGTTGTCCTAACGTGGTAAGCAACACCCGGAGGTATCTGTCCACTCCTTCCACCCATCTCCATTCAGCATTTGAGCTGTTTATGTGACTGCTGGCCAACAGACTTGCCTTCAAGTGCTCAAATGGTGGCCATACAATCAACCAGCTATGGGATTTTTTAAATTCCAAAAACAAAACTATTATAAAAATGTAACCTCCCCCCCTCAACCATCCAACCATTGCTAGGAACCCTCCAGCGCTTAAAACCCTCCATGAAACCTATCAATGAGCTTCTCTGATTTGCTCCTTATTGGTCTGTTAAGTATAGAAATGAAAGGATTTTGTTACATCTGTCCAATAAGTAACAGATACCCACTAATCCTGCCAGAAATCCAGAACTAGCCTGTGTCCTATGCACACTTCCGCTGTTATCTCATGAAGAGTAATTAGCCCTCCCAGTTCCTAACTTGGACTACAGAATAATTAGTCTCTATGTTGTGTAAATGAGAACAGTGGGAGGGCTTCTGCTGTCTAGCAAAGGGACAACTGGGCAGGGCTGACACCATTCAGTCCAGAAAAAGGCTGCGTGTTGTCAGCCCACAATAAGAAATTAGGAGCCGAGTACATTTCTGGCAGATCAGCAGATATTTGTTTTGTACTTGCCGGGTCTTTAAAGGGATACAATATAGATATTACAGAGATCTACTGCATTTTGTTTAGTTTTGCGCTGACATACACTTTAAATTGAATTTTGGCACCATTCCATCCTCAAACCAATGATACTGCCTCCCCCCCCCCCCCCCCCCCCCCCCCTCCCGCTCCACTGCTGCTGCCAGCTATAGGCAATACCCAATATTGTCGTGAGCTGTACACATAATGGCAATCCCTCTATGTAGTAGCCCCGGGGCCTGACAGTGGCCCACCTAGGGCCATTATGGGTGAAGAAGTGGGCCTGCCAGAGGCAACTTCATGTAAGTACCAAGATCAGGATCAGGGATAGGGGCAAGTTGAGACACCTAAGGTAGTGATTTTTTTAAACATTTATATGACAGGTTTTCTTTAATTGCTTATAAGTCACCCCGGGACAAACAACTCTCAACTTCCCCCACTGGCCTTCCTGCCATCCCCTTCACACAATATTTATTTCGCTATTATTTTTTATACCTTCCCTACCCAAAAATAATATAAAAAACAATAATAATAGTAATCAGTTGACGCCTATTAAAATCACATTTCCCAGCAGGATTTTGATTTTTTTAGTCCTTTTATTTTGCTTAGTTTTTTTCCTGATGTCAAAAACGGTGACCAAAGAAAAAAAGACGTATTTACGTTATTTCTCAAAATAAAATGTTGTCGACGAAGCCACTGAGAGAAGCCGGAGACAGAACAAATAGCCCATCATCTGCCCCGTGAGCTTCCAAAACACATCCGCCCCGAGAATGGATGCTGCGCTCATCCCACAAACCACAAATAAAAATTAGGAGCATAAACAAGGAGATACTGCAAATATTGAGCTGGGCACGGATCCGGCTGCGGTGGCAGGAGCGGTGCCAGGTGCAGCAAGGGGTAGGCTGCGGTGGGCACTTATTATACCGAAGATGCCATCAGTGAGACATCTCAGAATAGGGGGCGCATGTGTCCGGAGGCTTCACCTCTGCTGTCTGATATAATAGGTATTATGTACCCTCTGCTGTGCTGTCTGATATAATAGGTATTATGTTCCCTTTACTGTGCTGTCTGATATAATAGGTATTATGTACCCTCTGCTGTGCTGTCTGATATAATAGGTATTATGTACCCTCTGCTGTGCTGTCTGATATAATAGGTATTATGTACCCTCTGCTGTGCTGTCTGATATAATAGGTATTATGTTCCCTTTACTGTGCTGTCTGATATAATAGGTATTATGTACCCTCTGCTGTGCTGTCTGATATAATAGGTATTATGTACCCTCTGCTGTGCTGTCTGATATAATAGGTATTATGTACCCTCTGCTGTGCTGTCTGATATAATAGGTATTATGTTCCCTTTACTGTGCTGTCTGATATAATAGGTATTATGTACCCTCTGCTGTAAAATATAAGGATATTAGAAGACAAATAGAAATGTAGAGGAGTGATGGCAGAAAAGAACAAATGGCCCATCCAGGCTGCCCCTCTTTTTTGTTTTACCTTTTTGTCTGAGTATAGATCTATGTTCTTCCCAATCACTTCCTATTGACTGACTCTCTACCTCTGCTGGAAGTTTATTCCAGGCATCACACTCGTTCTGTAAGATAACACATTCTAAGGTTCATTTTGAACTTTCCTCCAGCTAGTTTGAGGTCATGCCCTTGTGTTCTTGATATTAGCTTCATAATTAAAATATTGTCTAGGGGGCGTGGCCAGGCGCATGGAGCGGTAAGACGTGCTTTAGCTCGTCTCCCGCTCACAGGGCACTGAACACAGGCAGACAGCAGCCATCCGCTCTCCCCTTTGCCGACCATGAGTGACCGGAGGAAGAAGGGGAAGAAGCAGCATAAAACGGGCCCCACGCCGAGGGAGTTGGCCCGTTTTTTCAGCACAGCGGCACCCATGTCTAAATGATCCTTAGTCTCACCCAGTGGCGTCACAAGGGGTGTGCGGCCCGCACCCGGGTGCCCCCATTGGAGGGTTGACACTAAAAAGCCTGGCAGTGTCAGGAGGCATACCTCATCCCGCCGGGTGAACGTCCCCTCCTCTGTCTGCCGGCGTCCACCACCAAGATGGCCGCCGGCAGGCGTCAATAAGATGACCGCGCATGCGCGATGAAGTCACGGCGGGGTGTCACCCGGTCTCCGCTCCAGGTGTCACCTGGCCTCGGGACGCCCCTGGTCTCACCCATAATGAATCATAATATCATCATAATGTTTTCAGTCCCCCCTTTCCCTTCTTTCCTCGATACTGTACATATTAAATTCCTGCGGTCTCACCTGATATGTTTTATCCTTCAGACCTTTCACCATTTTTGTTGAACGTCTCCGGATTTCTTCTGTCTTATCAATATCTTTTTGAGATCTCCAGAACAGGACATAGTATTGTAAAAGATATCTAAATAAAGATCTATATAGAAGAATCAGGACCTCCTTCCTCC